CAGCAGGTACGATTATGAAGAACAAGAAAGGAACGACGAACTGATGCGACGAGATAAGCCTGCGGCTACGACTACCTATGGCACAAAAAGCCCCCCCCTTTAGGCGAGCAGCACCACTTTCAAATCACTACCCAGGTCCTGGTGCCTGTGCAGCACCCACGCGAAGACAAAGCAGTCTATCCATATTTTCCAGCAAATTGGAGCACGCAACGGACACATCCTTTCCCGCCACGAAACCTGCAAAAATCAATGACGAGCGCTGAGCCTGTCACATTCGAGAGCCCTGGCACCTCACCCTTTTCTGAACAAGTACGACAAACAACAGCCTCTAGAGCGCTTCTGAAGCTCTACTGATAATGTACTTTGATTCCGGCGACTTCGGTAATCTCAAGCCCATAAACTTCTAATACGGACAGTGCAGCAACGGGCAGCGAGCATCCTTTCCAGACAAGAGATTCAAGCCAGTGCCCAATCTTGTTTCGTAAAGTTTTTACCACTGGCAGCGCTGTACTCCAGGCATACACGAAATATGGCGGGCTTAACGTGCGACGCGTGGCGGATTGCGGTGTCAAGGCTTGAGAGAGAAGCCCACTCCGCCTTGGGGCAAAATACACAGGCACCCGCCCCCCCAACTTTCTCACATTCCCCACCCCTCCTCTCCTGCACATGGACACACGTGCCACTCCTGGTGGATTGTTGAGAGCCTGCCCATATGCTACTTGGACAAGGCTCTCTTCATTGGAAGCGTCATAGTTACTTTTTTCTCGTAGCGTGGTCGTCTACCATTGCATCTACATTTTTTGGCTGCCCCAAACTACCTAAGCAAAGGCAAGCTCTTTTGCTATGTTGATGGATATCAATATGGTGGAGTCCTGTATAACTTCTCAATTTGACAACCTTATCAAGTCTGGGCAGAGTTGAACACGTCGACAAAGACCTTCACGTTGGTAATAATCTCCATTTGTCAGGATCAGTAAATCCTAACTGCCGCATTATCGATTTGTTTCGTTATTAGCTCTGCTCGAACAGCGCAAATTCCTATGGGCCGGTTTTTGACCAGAAGGGGTGTCGTCAACAGTTCTGTCGTCCAAAAGAAAAATGACCGTTGTTTGCAGTCCAGTTCGGCAGCACGTCCTGCTGAGGAAATCGTGGCCCGTGGGCGTGTGGTTGCTAGAGCCACATCCTCTCATTGTCCACTCGTTTCTTTTCGGCACGTTGGTGGCGTCAAGCTTTTGAAAGCCTCCATTGTGACACCATCTGTCAACTTCTGCTTTTACGATCATGCTCCAAGTCATACGAGGGGCGCCTTCGTGAGTAGGTTCGTCCAACTTCCTCACTGGCGCCTCTCGCTCATCCTCCTCATGACGTAGGAGGGGAGTGTCGCTAGTATTGTGCCTAGTTGGTCAAGCTTTGCCCGTACATCTTCTCTTCGACCCTTATCTTTTTTGGGGCAACTATCTCAACCTTGATTAGTAGAAGGGAGTGTCGTTAGTATTGCGCCTAGTTCGTCAAGTTCTGACCGTCCATCTTCTCCTCGACCCATTGTCTTTTTTTAGCGCAAACGATTTTCGAACAGCCTCAACAGTGGTTAGCGGCTTTCGTCTCGTTGGTGCTTTTGGGCGCAACCGGTTTGGCTGATGCGCTAGTTGCTTTGTGGCTGCTCCCTCTTGGCATCGCCAGCCTTCCACCTTCGCCCTGGCCTGTCCATCTCCGCCTGTATCCAATTCGCCAACAACGGCGTTCGTTAGTGGCCTTTGGGCGGTGGCCGTGCATGACTCGTCGTGCCTGATTGATGGTTGCTTCCGCCTGTTCAATTGTCCACTTATTCGTTTATTTCCATCTTCTGGGTGCTCCCAATTCTCACAAGTGCGCAGCGTGCGTTTTGCCTTTTTGGGGGTTGGGGCGGGGCTCCGGATCTATGGCCGTCTCCGCAGCTACTTTTGGCGTGGTAGCCCCCTCGTGAGGCCCGGCCCCTCCCACGTCCTTTTCCGGTTCTCGGTCCGGCCCTCCATTTCCTAGCCCGCGCAAGCCACTACCTGCTTGCTTTACTCCACGATGTCCAGATTCATCTATCTAACCCATCCTGCGGCTTTCCGCTCGTCCCACCCTGGACCACCACCCAGTGGCTTGGCTGGATGGCGTGACCGGTGCCTACAGTAAACAAGGGGCCTAGTTGCGTCAAGTGCACTATACAGTAGCCACTCGCACCTGCCCTACACCAGAGCAAGCCAAAAATGCGCGACGAAGTAGCATCTTTCATCTACATCACAGGGTACACCATACCTTGTGTTTCTAGACCAGAAATATAGTGGAATAAATCGTAATAAATTTGCACAAATTCTCGAAGCACACGCCGAACGGCATGGCGCCTGCGCCACCAAATGCCTCTAGCGCTGATGAGTCAGAGTATTTCCGTAGATACATGTATCGAATTACTCTTGCATATGCTTGAACGCTTCTTTCGGAGAAACTGAATTCTCGGTTCTCATTTTCGATAAATCGAGCCGCAACATTGTGACCATCTTGTCCAGTGTACTTGCCTAGCAATGCCTTGGAAAAGTAAGGACTCTGGGCCGTGAGAACACTGCTATGGGCTTGGGATTCAGTATAGTGGTGAGGAAATGTGGAACGGTGTTGAAAGACTACTGGTAGTCGCAGACGAGTCTACATCAAAGAGGCGCGGCTGGCTCACGCTGTTTATGCTCAGAATAATGCCTTGCGATGTCTTCATGCTAATAGCTTGATCGCTACACTTCACTGCAATTTTTGAGATTGGCCATTGAAGGTCTCCGTAGTCTGCTACAGTATGATCTTCCGTGCTTCTAGCTGTGTATCTTGTAGAGCCTGCCGATACTCTGCCGCTGATTCTCCAATACACAATCCTAAAATCGACTGAGTTTGATCGAACTGTTTTGGTCTTGGTCTGGTCTAGACCGCCAAGACTTGGTCTGGCCATTCGTCTTCCAATTCGTCACACCACATTCGAGCCCATATTAGGGCACCATAGGCCTACTTTAAGACCTCTAATGGTTCTAAAGCTCACCGAATCTCGGGCTGGTAAAATAATGGTTTCCGGGTAGATGGCAAGTCCTACTGTGGCGGGGATCTAACTGGCTAGGCTAGCCTTAAGACCGAGACGGGTGGCACAGCGAGTAACCAAGTGTACCGTATATTTAAAAATTTCTATCTGGCCAAATCTATTGTGTTCGCGTCGTTTTTTTTCCTGACAGGTTCGCGCATTATGACCCGATTTCTTGCACATACCACACAGCCGGCCTTTCGTCTCATCCCTTGGTTTTCGAACTCCTCCTTTGTTGTTATTGACTAGTCTTTGCGGTCGCCTCTCTCGCCGTCGGCTATAGGAATGCGCCTGCGCTCGTTGGAACTGCAGTTGATACGTGGTAACCCATCAATGGTCACGCATTTCAATGCGGCATTTTGCAACTGCCACTCACCGAAGGATGGTGCTGATGCCTTGCCGCAATCCGAAACTTTATCGCTCTCCGTTTCGGACAGGTTGTGAGGAGCCGGTGGGCTAAGCATGCTGGATGACTGGGCCCTTCTAGGCGATTGTGACAGGCGTCCTCCAGAGCGAGGCATAAAATTCTGGCGACGGACAGGCGTCATGCCTCCTTCGTCATGGGCAACTCTCTGTCGTTTGTGCAGCCTAGGACGGTTTTCCCCTGCATTATCGTCGGGAGAGTTATCAGCATGAACATTGTCAGAGCTGGCCACCGATGGCGAGCGGGCCGTCCCGCGCTTTTTGCTGCGGCCGCTGGCCTTGCCGCCGGTATCGCTGGAGCTGCTGTCATCGCTATAGTCATTTTCGGCATCGACGTCACTACCGCCGTCGCTGTCGCTACTGCTTCCACTGTCGGCATCGTGGGAGCTGTCGCAGTCGCGAACATCGGTGGTGTGGCCGTCGGCGTCGTTAGAGGCTAGAACGTTCTGGCGGGCACTCTCCAGCACTAACTTCTGCCCTGGCGTCCTAATGTAGTCAAAGATGTGGCACAGGTCGTCTGGCGGCCACAACAGCAGCCGGGCCAGTACACGATCCAGCAGATTTATGACCACACTGGCGCCTGCGCGAGCATTTCTGTTCAGACTTGCTACTGCATGTGCCACATCAGCCACTGCTTGGCTTACAGTTGGAGGGAGCATACCCTTCCAGAAAGAAAGGAGCGCATTGATGATGGTGCAAGGTTCATGGACCAGAAAGCGTACGGCCTTGCGGAGCGCCTCACCGCAGAGTCGTGGGTGACCACTCTTCATTTTACAAGCAGACTTCCGAAAATGTGTACAAATTCAATTGGGCTGGCAGAAAGCCATTCATGGCTGATGGCTGTGCGGCCGAGCAGAAGCTGATCACCCGTCATCACCCAGCCCCTGTCGAGGTCTGCATTTAAGGACAGAAGACGCACTCTACTCTATTCAACCGACGGCCACGTGTCGCTTCAGCTTGCTGCGAAGCTGAGCATAGTTTACGTCTTCTTCGTTGAGCATACATTCGATCAATCTATCAATATTCCAGTACCAGCCCAACGCGCATATCATGCCCATCCAGTCAACGATTCCGATTCTAGGGGCACCAAACTATCTAGACTGGTTCTCCGTGCTCGATAATGGCTCAGACCAGGAGAAGAATCACACATTTCAGCGCGACATACTGCCATGCCTCTCCGACTACGCCGAAGGCACTTCGTTTGGCACATTCCTACAGGAGCATCAATGGCTAAGAGAATTCACTGCTCCAGAGTCAAGCTTCGCGGAGACATTGCGAGAACTCGAGCATTGTCCGAATGAGGCAACGATAACCTTGGCTGATTTCGTCAAACACTTGGCTGGAACAGTCATAACAGTCGCGTGGCAAGAGGATGAAGACATGAAGGCTTTGGTTCAGAATTACGAGTAAGCAGAGATATTTGATGTGTTGAACATCGACGTCCTAACGGAACAAATAGGCATTGGAGGAGGCGTACCAACCACTACCGATAATGGAATGATTCGTCTGGGCGACGTCGTGGTCAGCAAGCCGGCAGGTGAACACTCAGGTGTGGTTCAATACGATCATGGGAAAGCAGAACAGGGCTACTTCCAGCGGACAGGTGCGTTGGCGCCTCCCCCAAGATTGTTGCTCAGCGCGGCTCAATTCCTTGCAACTCAGCGGGCAAGATCCAAAATGGACCCGATCGTTGAGAACATCAGGCGGATTGATACGACGACTCGAGGCCTCCGGAAGTACGAATACCCAGGTCTTGCCCAAGATCGTCTGTATCAGCCAGAGTACCTTCACAGAGAAGCCAGACGCTCTTGCCAGGAGTGTGGGTGCGATCCAGCCAAGCTTATACAGCGCGTCAACGCCGTAGAGGACGACGATGGCCCGTTCGTGGTAGTTCATCGTAGTACGATCGCTTCCGGTGAGCTGGCAATAAAAAACGGTAAGTTGAGGGATGATTTGGCCAAGCGGTACGATATTCTATGTTTTGAGACTGAAGCTGCAGGGGTATTGACAAACTTCCCTTGCATGGTCATCCGTGGTATCTCGGACTATTCTGACTCGCATAAGAATGGCCAGTGGCATGGCTATGCGGCCGCCGCGGCGGCAGCTTATGCACGGGCCCTTTTCTTTCACATGTCTGATGTAGTTGATTAGCCGATAGCCTGTAATCTACTAAAACACACACTTTTCGTCCGTGCAAACTTCTCCCTGAGAAGCGATCCTCTGTGCAGGAAATATGATGGCGCAGCTCTATTTCGGAAATCTCATCCAGCATTTCGCCTGCCAGCGAACGAACGCTGCGCGTCCCTACACTTGGAGCGGTCTGCTGTCCACAAAACAAGGTATTATGACAGCGACCAGAGCTGCTATGGCGAGGATAATTCAGTCCTTCGTGCAGTTCCCAATATGCTGCCGAAGCACCGTGGCACACAGAAAATGTTTCAGGTGGGCACGTCTTTAAGGTACGCAGTGCTATACCGGTACCACAAGCATCGATTTCGGCCTGCACTTGAACAAGTACTACACGACTGGCAGCCATGTATGTATCCGTGTAGGAATAAAATCCGTGGCGTCCTAACCCGCCCACGAAGCATGTATTATGCTGCGATGGTTCAGAGGACAGCGAGTAGCTGGATCTGAGACTAAGGCAGAAAGGCCATATTCCAAGACGGGGAGAAAATTTACTGAAAATGGAATCATTGGCCATACTTCGCGGGCGAAGGATTTTTTTTCGTTCGAAAATGGAATAGAGCTGAACAGTTCACATTAGCCAGCAGTTCGACGACTATGGCAGCGAAAACCTAGGGCGCAGGCTTTCCACCCAGTTGCACCATCACGCAGAAAAATATCGAACAGCGGCAGCATGGGAAATTGATCAATGCTAGCTGTTACTATTCTTCATCGTCGGATGGCTCTGTACTATTCTGGCAAGTTCGCGCATTATGGCCGGACGAGCCGCATCTACAACATCGCCGACCCTGTCTCATCCCTTGGCTTTTGACCACTTCTTTCGTTGCTCTTAACGATAGGTTTGCCTCGGCCGGGCTTCATAGACCCCTCACGGCCGGTTTCTGCGCCGTGTTTCATGCACAGATCCCAGTCAAACCGGAACAGGAACGTTGCCTTGCCGTCCATAATTGTTCGTTGAAGAACTACATCCTGCAGGACCCATTCATCAAACGCCGCATTGATATGCTCCCCCATATTGTGTGCATCCTCTGACGCCGCAGAGATCAGCTGTGATCCCTGGTCTAACCCCGCCGATTCGTGCTGAATAATTTCTTGACTTTGCGACTTAGTTTTCGCCGACACGGATCGGGATTTGTGGCGCTTGCCGGGTAGCTGGTTCTTGTCACTGGATTGACGGTCGCTGTCGGTTTCCAGTTCGTCACATGCCGATGGGCAGTACTCCGGGTCATCTGACGCTCTGGGCGGCCCTTCCACTCCATGCTGCTCGGTATCGTGGTCCGCGGATGGTTCCCTTAGCCGCTTGTTCTGTAGTTGTGAACGCATGCGGCTCGTGAGGGGCTTGGGACGTCCAAGTTTTTTTCTGGATGAGCACCGAGGCCGTGGACGGCAACGATTCTGTGGTAATCAGCGGATGGCCCAAGCAGTGTTGTGACGAATTGTGACTCACTCAAAGCTGGCCTCGCCGCCATTCTCTGGCTCGAAAATAAATAAAGGCCATCAACACGGTTAGCTGTGCCGCGTCGGTGAAGCTTGATGATGGTGGGGAAGAGGAGACCAGAAGCAGCAGCACCAACACGGTGGCCCACAACGTTATGCTGTGCTCCATAGCGGGTGCACTGGTCTCGGCTCGGTTGCGTGTTCCACAGAACAACAGTTTGCCGCTCGCTACGAATAAGTTCATACACTGGGGCCAAAGGTATTTTAGGCGATGTGTCTCGTAAGCGGGGGGGCAGATCCGGAGTGCGGCAAGATATAGCTCCAAAAGTACACATTTCAATTTCGAGATCGCTCACAGTGTGCAGAAGCTTTTTCGTACCATACGGTTATAGCTCCATTTTTCAAAGACTGCAAGTCAAGCGACGAATCTGGAGATGCGCAGAACAATATACTTTGGTTGTTATCAGCAGAAACTTTTGCAGCGATTAGCGTTTACCAGAGGTTTTACGGGCTCTCGAAGGGTCATGTCCGCAGGACGTCCTGTCCCTTTCTTTAGCCTGCTACTACTGAAACCAAATCCAGTTCTTGACCAGGTGCAATTGCTTCAGGGGAAGTACTGGACCGCAAATCGTGAAAGACATCAGCCACGCCGGGTAGGCAAAGTCGAGAATAGCCTTGTGCAGGCACGAGAGTAGGGCCTTGTACGATAGGCTGGTATCCTCGGCCACGAGTAGCAATGCAGCAAGCTCGTTAAACAGAAGGCATATTGGACTGTTCTTACGCGCGTCTAGACACGGTGCTTCAGCCGACCAGCAAGTAAAGCAGCCGCGCATGATACAACCAGACGCTGGTGAAGGGTTTGGTGTGAGCTGTTGAACCCGTGCAGTTACACTTGTGTGCGAGCAGAGCCGAGTTACCGCCCGCTTTTTAGCAATTGAGTTGGGTTGATACGTCTACGCTGAAATGTCACTTCATGATCGTATCATGTCTTTGTCGTGTCACATGGATCACTTGGTCCATCAGTGATCGCATGTAGTTGGAGAGCCACGGGGATTAGCGCTGCAAGCCCGACGAGAGCAGAGCCAAAGACAATGGTAGGTGTCCAGAACAGTCACAGAGCCAGCTGGCGACTGAGCACACCAACAAGGAGCGGCTGCGCTTCAGACATCCGGCGGATGCTTCACCGATTCAAGAGGGCGACTGGCGACAAAGCGACAACCTTGGGACGCTTCGGGGACGAGGCCTGACTGGTACCTGCTCGTACACCGGCCATGGCAGTGGCCTCGTGCAGAGCAAAACGATTTGCTCGACACTTCCATATTAGGGGCACGCCACCACCAATTTCTGTGCCGGCAAGGTTTCGCTTTCTTGTGCGTACAGTGGGTTGTCTGTACTTGCGAGCCGGCCATGGCTTCTCCCGAGTGGGAGCGTGCCAGCATTGGCAGGTACAGCCAGGCAGGCCCACGCCAGGGGCAGACATCACGGAAGCCTGAGGCATGCAACGGTAGTGGGTGTCCGACACGTCGACGCCAACTCAACACGCCGGGACTCGCGACACAGATTGCCCACGCAGACATTGGGAGTGAAAGTGGCGCGTCGCGTCGTGCTGTGACGCGACAAGCATTTACTGCAACGAAAATGGGCAACAGGATCTTACACTTTCTAGAAAAGAAAAGAAAAAGTTCTCTTCTTAGCGCGGCAAAAATGAATGTGGCCAGAACTGCTGATAACTTAACTGTATCCACGTAGCAGGGAGTAGCCGTTATCATTATTGGTAACTCTGTGCGGCACAGTTGAGCCCAATTTCGAGCTTAAAATCCAAATCAGGCGGTGGGGCAGGCGCGGGTGCGCCTGTCTCAGCATAATCAGGCCACTGACCAAAGTTGGCTATAATCAGTTTGCGGACGGTAAATCTGGACTTCACCCCAGTTCAGTGTCCCCCAATTTCGAGATAAAAAGTCCAAACTAGGCGGGTGGGGCTGGTGCGGGGAGCCTGCTCAGCATAATTAGGCCACACTCAAAATTGGCTATAATCAGTTTACGGACGCCAGCCATGGACTACCCTGTACACAACCACCCCATCAATTTTTTTTCGCCATTGAGGCTATTTGCTGCTGCAGTTCGTGGATCTTCTTCGCCAAATCTGGCGTCCGTTGTTTCCTGCCCCCTTAGCCTGTCATGCCGCCTTTTTACAGCCACCCCACCCAAGAGAGAACGCTGGCTGAACGGCCTGAACGTCTCCTCCCCTTCGAAGATGTAGAAGCTAAAAATGGCCTGTGCAGCCACATGGTGCGCCAGCAGTCTTCCGTGCCTGGATGCCAGACGAATTCCCCCGTCCCCACCAGCGAAGCAGTGGCGGCTTGACACGCATTAGATTGCATTTGGACGGACAAAAACGACACCGGGCAGCCATGTCATCTCCGCGAGGCCGTCATCGAGATGACTCTGATGTGTTCGTTCAAGGCTTCGCGGCGCCATCCAAGAGAAGTCCACCATCGAGTGAGAGTTGGATTCCACAGCTCAACCCGGCTGCTTGTTGCTGCCAAGATGAAAGCTACGAGGACTGCATGTAGACACAAAGGTGCCGCGGATGACCCAGACTGCATATTCCATCCATCCATTGTTTCTTACGCCCGGTGGCTTCCAGCCAATAGGGCTCACTAGCTATTATTCAATACACTTCTGTCTCCCCTCATTTCCTCATCCTTGTTCGTGTTCTTGCTGATCGTCTTGCAGCTGCCTTTCCCCACCACCTGTCCGCATCTGGTTTTGTTTATGTTAGATGACTAGCTGGCTTGAGGGCTATTCCCCAAGTGTTCGGAGTCCTGTTCTCAGCGACCGAAGCGTCACAAGCCATGTCTGACGATACTGACCGCTGTGTAGCGGGGAATTTTATCTGACTTACGTGTAGCAAAAATGTCGAACTAGGCTGATTTCCTTTCAGTTGTCAAAGCGTCCTGTCGCAAGTGTATACCGTATCGTCGCTCGAACTGCACCTACGTGCGGTTTCTATTTCGCTCCGTCTGATCCCGACTTCCCTCCTGTTTTGTGCGTAATCAGATTCGTTTTCTTACAGTACATACAGTACCGGTAGCAAATAAATTTAAAGAGGACGAACAGCCAGAAGGAGAGGGGTGTAGAGATTGAAAGTAGATGCGCATTGCAACTGGCTTTCCCACAGCACTTTACTGCGGGGTAGAATTATTTTACTAAGAAAAAAAAATCGCAAAACCCTTGTGCGCAAATTGTTCGTGCACCGAAAGCACACAAACGCGCAGATTACGCGATTTACGTCGACGCGCAAATGACACGAGGCCACGGAAAGTCACGTGGCTCTTTGT